ACATATATATTATATATCTCCTATTTAGCCTACCTCACTAAATCCATTAAAGTATCTGGCGTCAAGACCTTTGATGCTTTGTCAATTGTCTCAGTGCGTGTCTCCACAATTTTGGCACCTTGGCCGGGCCGTATGGTGGTGACCAGGCATATGCCCAATATTACAGCCGATATTGTGGTGACAAAGTAATATGTAATAGCTCTGCCGAGAAACGAAAGTCACATCAGTAGAATACACACTTTATATTCTGCAAATCTTTTTTGCTCACCTCGTCGCTATTTTGCTGGACATACTCAAATCCAAGCCACCGATGGCACTCGTTATGGAGGACACGAGCAACGGTACAATGAGACATTTCAGCATGCTGTTAGATAGAAGAAAAATGTGTTTAATCCATATTTGGCCAGGTCAGTGACGTCGCTTTGACTTACCGCAAAAAGATCTCGCCCGGAAATGATATATACATAATCTCACGCTTTGTCCACTCGCCGGTGCTGTTCTTGATGATGAAGCCAATGAGACCGCCCACAAAGACACCGATGACGGTGGCCATTGTGAGCACATTCTCTTGCATGAAGCTTTTAAATTTGTTTGCATCCTGCTTGGGTCGCGTCATTGTGGCTCTGTGTGTGTGTGTGCGTTTGTGTGTGGGAGATTATTACCCTAGGCCCGTACGCACGGGCACGACGCGTTACCAGTTGTGCGTTTCCGTTGGAACAGCTAAGCCAACTTAATTAAGTTGTCAAAGGGTAGTGCTGTATATGAAATCAAAATTTTGAATTTATTATTTAAATTCTTTTCAATTTTATATATAGAAATGCATAATTTAGGACTTTGTGGTTTGGTAATAATTTCAAATGAGGATCAAGGTTCATTGTAAATTGAACGCTTGGTAAGTTAGTGGATCACATTTATATTAAGTTTTTTTTTTATTATAAGTATAGCATTGCTTTAGCTTTTACAATAAATATTTAAATTCTCCTCACATTACAGATCAATATGTATCTTTTTAAATTAAATTTTAATTATGATTAATTATTAAGTATAAGAATAATCAATAAGCCATATAAGTAATATTATAGCATATTTACCATTAAGTTTTTTAGCTGATACTCTAGATGAGAATTTTTAAATTTACATGAGCTGAGGTATTTAACTATTTGAACAATTATTGTAACTTTACCAAGTATTTTATCACTTAGTAAGTATATGATATATGTTGGATGAATAATATAACCTCTATCCACATTCCTAGTAATAGTATGAAACAGTGAATTGCAGAGTTACCTTGGTAGTCTTGTTGTCTAGTTTACCTACTTTAGGTACTTTGTATTGGTAACTTCTGAAAGGCGTAATTCTACAGTTTGTGAATATTATTATAAATAATATTCATTCTAAATTTACCACACAATTTATCACTTGCCAAAGTACACGATCATTGTAGACTATGTGTACATGATAACTTTTATATACAAGTCTATCTTGTTATCTAATTATCACTTGCTAAGCAAATCTTAAATTTCCATGACGAGCTGCAGCTAAAATCGTAGACTAACTGCAAATAAATTGTGAATGGTCGAGGTATTTAACACCAATTATGATTTAACACCCACTTAACAACCACTGATGTTATCCTCTCAGCTAACCGCTGGTTGTTAATGGAGCTCAATTCAGATATGCATCTGTGCTGACTGTTGCACTTGAGTGCAATTGAGAAGTATATTTTATTTTAACGCGTGTCGAAACAAATAAATTTACATATGCGAGCACCTAATGAAAACTAATGACTCGACAGGGGATCAATGCCAACTGATAGGGATGATCATGTGCCGGCAGTGCGAAAACTGATCCAAATTGTTGTTGTGAGGGTTGTTAATAGATCCAGCAGACCCGATATGTAGATCTACATAAATGCATTCCAAAATACATTAATAAAGAAAAATACTTTTCGCACTTGCCATTTGTTGTGCACAATATAAATTGTTGAACATTTAACAAACGGAAAGAAATTTGATTACTCTCAATAACATAGAAATGTCAATTGAACGGAAAAGTATGGGAAATATGGGAAATAGCTTTTAAGGTTATATTTGTTAAAGTCGAGCTATGTTGAAAACATGCTGATATTTGTATTCTGCCATTTTCTATTTTCAATGAGAAATTTAGTAAGTAGAAAATATTAAAAAAAAAAAAAAGGGGAAAATTTTCTAAAAATTTTTTTTTTTTTTTAAATGTCAAAACTTACATGAAGAAATCTGACTAAGTAGAACATATTTAAATATATTTACATGCATATCTCAAAAAAAAAAAAAAAAATCCTATACGCAATTTCTATTATTAAATATTTTCTAAAAGGTTAGGAACATCATAAAGGGTTTAATTTATATTTTTGAAGATTTACCTAAAATTTGCATAAAAACTACAATTAAAATAGAAATAGTTTTCATATAAAGAGCTTTGAATTAATTCTGAAAAAATATACATACGATATGTATGTAGAAGCTTTTTATACGGATTCACAAAAGTGTAATGAGTATATTGTTTTTGTGCAACTTAGCTCTTTCTGTCCGTGCGTCTATCCGTATAAATGAAATTTATATTTTTATTATATTTGATCATTTTAAAACTAGAAACTAAAAATTGAAAGACTGGATTAGAGTAGTCTATTAATTTACACAAAAAAATAAAAAAACATATATATCGGAATATGGTTCTGGCAGCGCTTGGGCCATGACTGAGTATTTCTCAGTCGGTAATGCCTGTTCTTACTTGTACGTTTATATTTTAAATCATGTATAATATACATATAAATCTTCTACATTTGAATACCAGCTGAAGTCTTGAAAATCGTATAGTTTAGATTTATTTGATTTATTTTATTTAATTTAATATATATATATTTTTTTTTATAAATTTTCATTTAAAAAAAAAATTTTTTTTAAATTTTTTTTTTTTTTTTTTTTATAAATTTGTAATGTAACAGAATCGACCTTTCTCAAAAGTAATTTACATTTTTAGAATCAACTTCTAAGTGACATAAAACTGAACTAGCAATCGTTTTTTAATCACAAAACTTTAATTATAATTGCCTATATGATATCATTAACTTGGCTTTAAAAGGGTCAAGCGTGTATTTCTAGTATGTGACGGCATTTCAAATGAATTGCATTCATTTCATTAAGAAAACAAATGAGACTGATCCGCCTACATGCTGTTATTAGCATTGCTCTTGTTCCTGTTGTTGTTGTTGGTGTTGCTGTTGTTAGTATTGTTGCTAGCGCTGTTGCTGTTGTTGCAATGCAAATCAATTTGTTTACCCGGAGCATTGACAATGAATTATTTGCATCTCGAACAGTGTTGTGAGTCCAAACTACTGTCAATTACAAAGCATTCCTATATCAAATTCAAATGCTTTCCAAACAGCTTAAAACAAAAAATAATAAAACAAATTTAAAAACAACAAAAAAAACTGTTACATAAAATCGTGTTTAGCAATTTAATTAACATTGTCTACCCGATATACGATATTACACACCTATTTAACCTTTGTTGCAGTAAGGCAAGTTACTTTTTTGCATATGTAAATATATAAATACTAAGTAGAAATAAAATATACATATATATTTCGATTTAGGAAGTGACATTTCAAGAACTTTGTACATTCCATTAATTCAAACTCTCGTGCAGGTGATATATGTTTATCGTACATCATACATAATCTTTCTTATGAGAACTGCCATTAATATTTTCATATCTCATTTTCTCTCACTAACAATTTTTACAATCTTTCACGTATCTTTTTTTTAAGAAAATATATATA